ACCCTGAAATGAAAATACAATGAAACAAATAAAATAATCAAGATGAAAGATTGCAGAGATCACAGAGTAAAAAGAAAAAAATATGAATCAGAAAAAAACTTTGGTTGAATCCACTTTTGGCAACCCTGTATTTCAAACTCGTAATTTTTGACAATAGGTATCAAACGTAAACACAGCTTCTGTCAAATCACTTCTATATTTTTCTTCTTATTGGAAATATATTAAACATATATATTAAATACAGTGAATCAAAAATTTACCAGAGTAACATTACATTTCAGCCGAGCCCTTATTGCGTTCATGTCTCAAAATTATTAAACATATTCTTCAGAAATTTCTGAAGTTCTGAACCAACAGTATTAAGAGGTTAGTTTTTGAGGCTACTCACCAGCAAAAATAGAATTCACATTAAAGCAAACATTAAAACCGCAACACCCGCTATAAAATACCAACTTTCAAACAGAACTGCGCAAACTGTATGTATTTTCGTATGACCACTTAGAATTCCAGTAAACACTGCACTGCACCACAAACCGTCCTGACAGTGTTTCTGTCAGCAACGTTCTCACTAGCGAAGCTCCAAAGTACGATTCAATTCGCGAAAAATGCCTGAGTCAAACCATGGCGTGGCCTTACTTTATATGAAGAAAACTATTGGTCTCGATTTAAGAACCATTAGAGCCACTGTCCGTGATGTAATGTAATATTACGCTTTTGTTATGTTTGAGATAAGCTGAAGTATGAAAATCAGTGGCGGAGTGATTGGAGTGATCTGAAGTACTAATATTCAGTGTCTCAAGAAGGTTTATAGAAATGGAGAACAAACATGTTAATGAACAGTTCTGCATTATCTGAAATGGAAAAGCATTATCATAAAATATGGCGAGTGGAACAAATCATATGTGCCAAAGAGAAAACTTTTAACAACAATCCAAGTCAACAGTCCAACATGTCAAGTTCGCTTGTTAAAGAGAGATTCTGACCAAGAAACCATTGTAAAATCTTCCACCCTTTGAGTTTTAACAAACACCATAAGTACGGAAAAAGATTGGGGAACTACTTAACGGATCAATACTAGTTTTATATTACTTGGCCGGCATCAAAATATGGCCTGTTACATGTCTACATGTCTGATGGGTTGGTGAATTTCAACTACTACTTCAATTTAGAAAGTTTCACTTCAAACTCAACGTTATGACTTTGAATTCGAAGTATCACCGGTCAAGAAACTTCAAGCAGTCGATAAATTTCCTTTCGGGAGATACCATGATAAGCTATTCTTCTTTACTGCACAATATTTTCACAGATGTCTATGGACATGTATTGTATATCAACGACTTATTGGAGAAAAACCAAGAATTCCATATTTTGCTTTGCTGATGACAATACACCTGTCTTGTCATTTCATTTGGATTCCACGAGATCGGCGAAAGATAAATGTCTCCGAACCGGATATAATAATTTCAGGACAGATAATTCCGCTTTCTACTTCGATAAGTTTCTTGGGGGTTAAAATGAACACCAATTTGTCTTGGCACAATCATGTCGTTGGAATTGCAAAGACTGCTTTCCAAAAGCTTGGAACACTGTTCCGAACCAGAAAACTGTACACACCTCAGCAACTTTTGATGCATTATAAAGATCAGATCAGACCTTTGGAGTAGTCTTCTCATGTATGGAGCTCCGCTCCCAAGGTGCTGAATTCCATCCAGAAAAAAGCCATTCGCCTGATTGGAGACACGAACATCACTTGCAACCTTGATAGCCTGTTCAAATGACTTGGCACATTTGATTCTACCAAGAGCGGTTTCGAGGTTCAACTCAGTACACCTCGAAATTCATTGTTTAAGAATCCTTTCATTTGGAGAACAGCGTTTATGTGGAATAAACTTCCTGGAAACAAATGTTTCCATATGTTTCCACGGTTCTTAGGATATACAATTTTTGTATAAAGAAGTAGAAAGCCTGAAGCTTTATTTCCAAAATAGAGTCTCTCCTAAAAACACCCTTTTCGATATATTGACGATTGTGCAATATTTTGCTCAATAACGATTACAGTTTTACTGTACCAAATAACAACGGGAACTAATAATATGCTGATCCGCATTATATTATTAGTTTCCGTTGGTATTTCGTTGAGTAAGTCTTAAGAACAAAAATTATTTAGAAAAAATCTGTTTCGGCTCTTTATTACTTGTCGGTATTCGAGTATTCTGCTCGTTATTTCTCNGATACAAATTTATTATAGCTAACTCCTTCCCAAAATTATAAAATGGATAGTACAAATGTATATTTTACTCACCGCTGCCTTTTTTTTCCTGCCCGTCCCCTATTTAGAACTTTTGCACTACACTGCTCGATTTTCGCTTCAGAATAAAAGACTACCCAAAATCGCGCTAACCGCCTGTTTTCAAGAGAAAAAAAAATACCGCCCTTGATTGACCGTCAAGAGAACCCTTCAAACTCCCTAGTTTTCGAACCTCCTCGAAATTCACGCAGACTTACTTTCCAAAACAAAACTTTCGTACCACTCTAAGACCGCTGCCTTAAGCGAAGACCTCCCAGATCTCTCTGTCTTTTCCACTTTCAAAAGCCAGGAAGACCATCACGAGTGCCTCGCCTCTCGCGTTTCTCAAACCGT